GTCATGAGAGCATGCAGAGAGATCAATAAAAAATGGCAGGCACACAATTCACAACACGTATGGCAAAAGAGGTCAGTCACTACCCTAAGTGTCGCATGTGGCTGCTTCGATCCTAACTGTCATGGCCAACTGAATAGAGTGAGATACGTGTCTGTGGCCTTGAGGTTAGGCTTTCCGACTCGCTACCGTAAGGTTGTAGGTTTGAATCCCATCAGGCACGCAACGTTGTGTCTTTGGGAAAGCCAGTTTACACTACACAAATTTTCTTTTAACTTCACACAGGTAGGAATGGGTACCTGGCTGTAGACAGCAAAAGACCTTGTCAGTTTGTTCGTGTTTGAGTGCACGCAATCTGCAGCTTGCACTATATGCTTCCCAGGAAGTCAAGAATGTTTCTTAGTATTCTATGGTTTGCTGGGATAATAATGGTTGTACAACGCATAGAACTCGCTGTAGAGCGTGGATATGCGCTTTATAAAAGCAATTATCATAGATACAACATCCCAGCATTCAGACAGAGATGCAGTCTAAGAAATTTCCCTGCTGAAGCTTTTTTCTTTTACTTCTCCTTCTTGATCACATTGTACAAGAAGACTAGCATCTACGTGTATTATACACTGAGCCGTCTTGTTAAGTTCTGTTAGCTCGTACAGTTTCTTGAAGCATTAAAGAGTGCTTAGGCACCAAACTAATAATGGTTGTACAATGCATAGAACTTGCTGTAGAGCTTAGATATGCGCTTTATAAAAGCAATTATCAGGGATACAACATCCCAGCATTCAGACAGAGAGGCAGTCAAAGAAACTTCCGTGTTAGCTCATACAGTTTCTTGTAGCATTAATGGGTGCACCAAACTCGCGTCTTCTGCCTGCAATGACAAAACACCTACCAGCTACACCCCAAACCCTGCTAAGGTCAGTCACAGTCCACCAACATCAGGTCAAACCACGTCTGTGAACACATTACTATAACAAGGCCTCGCTTAGGGCTGCAGGACCACAGCCAGGTTGAGAACTTGTGGCACATCATGTGCTTGTTCTATGTTACGATAAATCGTGTTCTTCAAAACAATTGTCAGTGCCTTTTATGTCATGTCAGTCCTCAAACAACTGTCTGTGCCTTATGTCAGTCTCCAAACAATAGTCAGGGCCTCATCTCAGTCTTCAAACATTTGTCAGAGCCTTATATCATGTCATTTCAGTCTTTAAAGATCACCAGAGACCCGTTGCTGTTGTAATCAATCCAGATCACCAGTGCTATTATCAGTCAGTCTGTAATCAAATGTCAGTAACTTGAGTCATGTCAGTCATTAAGTTACTGTCAGAGTCCTTCGTACAAACGTAAATGCCATGTTGAAAAAAAATCTGAACAATCAAATGAAAAAAAGAAAGCACAGTACAAAATAAAGTAGTAAATTAAAAACTTAACAAAACACAAGTAGGAAAAATGGGATATGAAATTCAGATCTGGAGTCCAATAGGATATGTCAAAGTGTGAGACAGCGAAAAAAAAAGCAAAAAAATATCACAGCAGGAACATGATAGAAAGAAAAGTTGGCCGCGCGTTTAAGTGACACAATGATTGTGCATTACAACTTCAAGAGAAGCTTTGGCTGTACCGGTACCGCAAGGTAAATAAGATTCTGTAATACTTGTTTGGTCATGGAAAGACCTTGAAAGTAAAAAAAACGAAGCAAACAAAAAAAAAGTGTGTCAACCATTGAGAAAGAACTAACATTTATCATCTTTAAAGAGCATACAAACCTCAAACCAAATTCCATATTTACCCCCCCCCCCCCTCCAATATATCACTTTATCAAACATATCCTATGTTTAGAAGACTTCAGTGGGTTATATTAATCACAGAATTCCAAATTTAGACCTGTCACTTTATGTCCTATACTCTATCTCTAACCACCACCCCACCCCCTCCCTCCACATTTCCCAACCTCTTTCCAATTCTGATTTCAAGAAAAATCAAACAAATTTCAACAACGAACTAATCTGATCTAACTACTACACAGAACACAAGAGTGCCTCCGTTGGTTTGAGCGTGTTGCACAAATTTTGTGGATTAAGGTAAAGAGACAAACTTTGTTCCCTTCAATACATCAGGTAGGTACATAAATCATTGTAATCATGTCGGAGAGAGAGAGAACTGAATTGGCAAAACTTGAGTGGTAAACGTGAGTACTGAAAACATGAGGTAACATATTGTTCAACAAAACAGAGAAATACACGCGGTACAGTCCATGCAGAGTCACAGAACATGCACAGGGTATATATATATAGCATGACAAAAGAGAGTCTGTTCAAACGTAGTGCACAAATGTATATATGTGCCATAGGTCAGTCATAAATATATACATTAGTTGCAGATCTCTCAAAAGCATACATTTTTCACACCGGTTCATGCATTATAGTCTTTCATTAACAAAATGTTTGTCACATGCACACATATATACATTTTTTTTTTACATCTATTACAAAACACACTTGTGTCATGTATCCGTCACTGTTGGCATAAATAACCTTTGGCTGTGCTAACCACTTGGACAAAGACAAAATATGGAGATACAGAAACACTGCAGGCCCATCTCAGAGGGGAGTGCTTTTTGCTCTGTGTCAGAAAACAGACAAAACAGTCTGTGTTTTCTCCATAATATTATTCCTTCAACACTTCTTTCACTCCCATCTCTTCTTTGTCTGGGTCAGGCCTGCATTCCAAAAAAAAAAAGCAATAACCCAGGGGGCATAACTTCACCCAGAAAAAGATAAAACAACACAGTGGTGGTTGTTTCCCCTGAATTACTCCATTCCTCTCATTTGCCAAGAATTACATTTCTCTGTAAAGTGAACAAATTCGAAACTATTCAATTCAAGACTAACACAAAGAGAGAATTTAAACAAATGGGTGACGTGACAGGAAAAGATCAGGATAAAATAGGCTCTCTGAGAGTACTCAAGCAGAGAAATAAGAGGTGAACCATTATCACCGATGTCTGTATCAAACCCAGCACTTGAAGAAAATCTCGGTCCACACGAATGACGAGTTTATTGTGATGGCATGACATCAGATTTAAATAGAAACCGACATTCCAACCACGATGTCAGCTGCTATTGTTGGCACAGTGAGGTCAATGAATCTTCCAGAAGTTTCTAGTGAACCGGTTCACAATGCTGTAAGCAAAAAATCTTCTCATACAACGACTCCACAGAGTTTGAAAAGACTTCACAAAAATACCATGTGGGGCCAAACAACTGTCAAGCCATACAACTGAATGAGACATATTCATAGTATTCATATACTGCTAAAACAGTAATTGAATTATACTGTTAAAACATATATGTCACATAGCTATATATACACACAACCGTGCACTCATTTTGATCATTTGAGAAGAAAGAAATGTCATATTTTTTGGAGTGAAACAATTCGTCCTCTGCCACTAGGTCTAAGCTTGTCTGTCTCTTCCAACATACATTCTCTCCATCTCCTTGTTCGGTCATTTGTCCAAGACTTGAGTCGTCTCATCTCTTAACCAAGCACAAAGCAAAAGTTCAACTTCCACCTTGAGACATCTGTTGTTCTATAAACATCTTTTAACCTTGCTAAACCCTTCTCCCCACACCTAGATACTGTCACCACTCACTTCTGGACTTCAGCATGGAAAAAATATTTACAAAATAAATACCCCCCACCAAGCAAACAAAAAATAAAACAAAAAAACATAACAAAAACCAAAAAAAAAACCTCAGTGTGTCTGTGATTTCTATTATCATTTTTTCTCACACAGAACTACGGAAGCCTTCAGATAGCATCAACTGTAAATAACAAATAACACCATTCAGTCAAGGTTCCCAAGTGGGCGGAGCAACCAGGTGCAACAACAGTAATGAGTAGAAGTTTGAGAAGCTGTGTACATCAATGAGTGTAGACCAAAGCCAGCATATCAATAGACATAACAGTCAGCGGGCTACGCTATGCAAATTGTGGTTAAAGAATGGAAGGACGACGATAGAAAATGACATGTCTTGTTGAGGTTGATTTATGAAAACCTCTCTCGCACACAGTTTCGCTCACCCGACAAACAGTTTGGAAAGATATCCACAGAAAGAGATACAAATGATATTTCCTAAAATGACGATCTAAAGCTCTTCAATTGCTCCAACAAACAGCAACAAATGTGTTTTTACAGCGCAAGTGTCCTACAAGACAGAAATAATCATTAATAAAACTTGCCCTTGTTTTGTTCAACATGAAACAAACAGGCAACCAGCACTAGCATTGACCACAACTCCGGTCTGTGCCCAGAGGTCACTGCTCTCAATACACAGAACACAGAATAAACATTATTCCAATACTCCCACATATGGAGTAGAAATAACAGAAATATCAAGAAAAAAATATCAATAGCCTTGGGTGCAAACCATCCAACTTCTAATATCGTTCTGATGCTTTTATGCTTTAAATAGGAAGGAAACCCCTTCAGACACAAATTCTATTTATATTCAAGTCATCTGGCCAATAAAAATGTGTCAAACAGTCACCTAATCAAAGCATTCATTTTCAGCTATCAGTTTCGACAAAAGAGTTTTCTTTTTCTCCAGTGAAAAGAATGACCTACACCCATAGACGATTTGTGCTGGAGGCCATCGAAATGTAAAAAAAAACAACGTTGTCCAATCTTCTGCCATATTGTTGACTTAAACCTCAACATACGAGAGACTTCCTCCCCCGTTCTCCTTCCCTTCCCTTCCCTCTCCTCCCCATCCCCAACCCTCCCCCTACTCTCTCTCCTTCCCTTTCTCTTATCTCTCCTCCTGGTTCACAACCCTCTCCTCCTCTTTCCCCTTCTCCCCTCCTCTGACTTCCACTACCTCTCCTCCCCTCCTCTAAATTCTATCCTCTAGTATTAGTAAGAGTTTTACTGCACTTTCAACACAACAAGGTCATATAAGTGCTGAAGATTAGAAGTGTTATAAACAACAAAAAAAAGGAGGAGAGATAAGGAAGATTGATATTTAATAGGAAAGAAGGAGCAAACCACACCAGAGCACCCGCCAGCCATCCGCACTTCTATCCTCTCCTCCGCCTCTTCTCCTCCGTACTGTAGCAGCTGGTTCAGCACAAAGCGTGGATAGAGAGAGGCCAGAACTAGGAGTGGATAGAAGGCAGCCCCCAGCAGACAGCAGCACGGTCTGCGCTGGTGGTGACAAAGGCGAACTGTGTGGGGTGCCAGCGACCTTGGATCACCTTGTCCCGGTGCTCTCCCACAACTACACTGGGCAGGGGACGAAGCAGGTCACCTGGGGGCAAATGACGGGGGAAAGGTCATGGTCAGAGAAATAGACACATCAACATAGTGATAACTACATGAATATATGTGCACAAGTCTATATTTTTCAGGTTTCGGGTGACTAGTAGTATTGTAAAAATGCCCGTTAGTTGTTCAGTACCCTTGGTATAGCAGGGTTTTATTTCGTGTACTAAACATCAGTATAGGCCTAATTTAAGTTTTTAGTAGAGGTTTTACGGCGCTCGCAACTGCATAAGGTCATATCAGCGCCAGAAGATTAGAGGTGTTACAAGAGAGTAACAAATATAAAAAAGAAGAAGGGGAGATAAGGACGATAGATGTTTGATGGGAAAGAATGAGCAAACCACACCAGAGCACCTGCCAACCACCCACTTTTCAGGTTTGGGGTGACTAGTATTGTAAAAATGCCAGTTAGTTGTTCGGTACCCTCTATAAAGCAGGGTTTTATTTTGTGTATCTAACATCTAGTAATTGAGAAATTTTCAGTCTTGTTCAAGACAAAAAGTTGGCTTAGGCAAGCATTGTCTTTTTTATTTTAGGTTTTCTCAGCCTAAAAAAAAAAGTGTTATGACCACAAGTAGAAGTAAACAACATTGTAGTATTCATTTTGAGCAGAGAATTAGCAAGACTCATAAAAAGAAACAACAGAGGGAAAGAAATAAAGTTGGATCTACCAATGCTTGTTTGTGTCAGTAAAAAGGAGCATATTAACAGAAAAAAAGATAATTCAGCACAGATTTAGAAAGTAAGACAGACAGACAAGATAGACTTAAAGATAACAGGTAGGACCTACCTGAGTTTGTTTGAGTAAAGACAAAAACATCGGTAAAGTAATGATCATTAAATGTCTGGTAAATTAAAATGGAGTGCTTATTGGCCCACAGGGGCATATAAAATTTCCCCTAGAACACTTATTATTTGCCCACAAAATTGCGAGTTATCTCCCCTGTGTTTGGCCCTCCTGTCTCTCCCCCCTCAAATCCATAAAGTCCGTCAATCTCATATTGTCTGGTAAATTAAAATAGTAAGACAGACAGAAAGAACCAACAGAGGGATAGTAAAAGAGTTGTGAGACCTATCAGTGGTGGTTTCTAATCACCAGAAAAGACAAAATGATAGGGATGGATACATAGGTACAGACTCAGGAGCCTATAATACCCACAGACAGAGACACTCATACACAAAGACACAGAGATAAGTACACATATTTATACATAAGTGCAGAATAAACTCTGAAATGCAAGCAACCACAAAGACACATGGATATACATACAAAAACTTGCATACACACACAAATACACACACACACACAAACACACACACACACACACACACACACACACACACACGCAACCCCCCCCCCCCCCCCACACACACACACACACAGACCCACCATGCAGGTCAGTGACCACAATCCTCTGGTCATACGCTACAGTCAGCAGGTAGTAAGCGTTGTTGGAGAACCTGGCTGAGCGACATTCCCCACTGTGGGGCTGGAAACTTTGCACAACCTGGTTCATTTAATAATAAAGAAAATAATGATATTAAAAATAATGATAACAATAAAAATAACAACAACAACAAGAACAACAATAATAATAATAATAAGCCTATAAAAAATAATAATAATCATATTAATAATCATCATCATCAACATCATCACCATCACGATGAATGATAAGTCTTCTTGACACAAAAATTAATATCAAAGATAACAAAATGTCCCTCAATTGATTTGACCCCCAAAAAAAATTGGCGGAAGTCCAGGCCTACATTTAAGCCATGACCCCCACAAATTGGCATGGTTATGAAACAACTGCCTATGTCACCGTTTGTTGTAAGGAGAAAACCAAAACTGCTTATGTAAATCAACATTATGACTTGATCCCCACTAAAAATGTCTGAGTAAGTAGAGTTTTAGAACATGAAACAAATCTCCACTATAAATAATAATCATCATCATCATCGTCATCATCATCAATATAATAATAATAATAATTTTTTTTAAAAATAATAATAATAATAACAATAACAATAATAATAACAGTTGCACATTTGTACTGTGGATACCCATATGCTACAGCATGCCCTATGCCCTACAACTATTATTCCCCAGCAGACCCAAGAACACTCAGAAACATTCTGGGCTTAAGCATACAGAGCATGCAACCTGCAGGATTGCACATGCTAAAACACTCACAAACTGACAAGATCTTCCACTGTCTACAGCTGGTTACCCATTCCCACCTGGGTGAAGTGAAGAAAGTTCATGTAAAGTAGCTTTCCCGAGGACACAATGCAGAGTCCTCTATGGGATTTGAACCCACGAACTTACGGTTGCGAGTCTGAGAGCCTAACCACAAGGCCACCAACGCCATATAGTTTTGAAGATACAAAACTAGCTATGCTTTTTATTCCTCTTTATTTAATAAGAAACTGAGACTGAGAAAAATATTACTTATGCAATAGTATTATGACCATAATGATGCTGACAACCAGCCAAAATGGCCGTTAAGTGTTCACCTTGGCCCCTCGTATGTCGTAGAGCATGACCATCCCATCCTCATGGCCCGAGACCAGCAGACGTCCAGACGGGTCCACACACACAGAGGCAAATGGGCTGCCTGTGATGAGAGAGGTATACATGGATTAAAACACATGCCAATATACACAAGCAAAAACGTGCGTGTACATATATATACATAGGTAAACACATTTCCACTCACATACACTCCCGCATTCACACCCGCATTCACACACACATAAAAACACACACATACACACATACAACACAGAAACACACACATACAACACAGAGAAACACACACACACACACACACAAAGCAAACTAATTTACATTGTGTTTTAAAACAATAGTGTTTTTTCCTGCTGTTTTTCTATCAATCTCCCGGGGAGAGTACGGAAACTAATTTAATTTTCCCTGTGTTTAGACCAGATTTACACAAACTAGTTACGGTAAGAAACTCTGAAAACTGTCTCGTCATTTCAAATTACAATCAAAACTCTCTCAGATGGCCGGCCACCCATTGTCAATTAGAAAAGCGGCAGTCTTGGTCCGCAGGATTTTTTTTTTTTTTTGGTTTTTGTTTGGGGGAGGGGGGGGCTTTCAATTAGAAGAGCATGGGTATTATAGACAGAGAAGGGAAGGTCTATGCTTTAGTAAACAGATATACATCGACAAAATAACGTTTATCTAGTTCAAGATAAAGCAAGACAAACAGACAGAAACATCAGAGGGAAAGAAAAGAAAATACGACCTATCAAAGGCGTCATCAAATCATGAGAGGGTAAAGTCAACACAAATGAAGTAGTCACATTCATGGATAGAGTGAAAAGATAGACGTTAACCTTCCTCTCCATCCCAGTTACCTCACTCTTATGCTTTCTGTAAAATCTACATAATTATCTAAACTTAGTTATCAGCTTCCCCTATAAACGTCACCTGATAGGGACATCTCCTCAAACCTTTAGACCTTTCACAAAATGTAATTAGCAGTTACAGGGAGAGAAAAAAAGAGGGCAAGTGGCTGTGTGTTACCTACCCATATACATGAGATCACAAGACCATCTCTTATTGTTTTGCACGATCTGTCTATGCTCTTAATTATAGTAGCCAGTGGCTTTTTGTTATTCACCACATTAACATGTATTCACTTACACACAAACCCATAAAATATAAAAACATAGCGATACTGACGCTGGCGCACACACACGCACGCATGCACAACCCCCCCCCCCCCCCACACACACACACTAAAACATGCACACACACACACACTAACACACATTAACACAACACAAACACACACACACACACATCATAAGCACCACACACGAATCTCTGTACATGTACCAATGCCCCTCACCCAACCCTTGCCCCTCCCACCCCCTTACACCCCCTACAAAACCCAGCCATTCCACACGTCCCAACCCCCACCCCTGAACTCCAAACTCCCAAATATTCCCATACCTCCCCCCCCCTCCACCTCCAACCACTTTGTTTGTTTGTTTGTTTGAGTAAGGAGAAGCATACAAACACAATAATAGCCATTTCGTACTTGGGAAAAAGTAAGACAGTCAGACAGAAACAACAGAGGGAAAGTAAAGAAGAACGACCTTCTAGTGGCGCCCTCCAACCACCCACACCCCCAACCGCCTCTCCCCCCCCCCCTCCCCCAACCCCCCAACAGCTGACCTGAGGGTGCAGGCACCACCGTGATGGGTGTGGAGGCTCTCAGGTCCCAGAACCTGGCCGTCTTGTCCTGGGAGCCACTCACAAACATACAGCCGCCCCACGTGTGGAGGGAGTAGATGTGGCCTGTGGAGGGAACAGTAGATATAAATACATACATGCATGCACGTGACATACATAGGCCTACACAAAATATGCAATAACAATAAGTAACAACAATAATAATAAAAATAAAAATATATGCTATAATAATAATAACAACAATCACAATAATAACAACAACAATAACAATAACAATAATAATAATAATATTAAATGCTATAATAGCAATAATAATAATAATAAATGCTATAATAGTAATTACAATAATTCACCCGTCAATGTCTCCTGATGACCAATGCCTCTGCAGAGGGGAATATTTCTTCAGCGAAATAGAAGATATAAGGGTTAAGAAGACTTGTGGCTTCTACCGTGACTAATGAGACCAATGCTGGCAGAAAAGAGGTTTGCCACATTTTGAGCATGTAAAAGCTTCATTTCCACACGTGAATATGTGTAGCTTACTAGCTGTTACCTTTGCCTCAGCAATTTTTATTCAAGAAGCCTCATTTGACTTATACTACCTACTATGACAGCTGACCTCCAAGTCCTGGGTCTGTCATTTAGAAAGAGTTCGATAGATCAATCGAAACAAAAAAGGAAAAGAAAAAAAATGGGACCTACCAGCGAGAACCTCGAACCAGCCGTACGTGACCAGTTAAGACTCACCCGTATGTCCAGCCATGGCCCGTATGGGCGCTCCACTGTGACAGTCCGTGACGTAGATCTTGCAGTCCCCGGCCCCACCACTGACCAGAAGAGACGATTGGTTGGTCACGTCCTGCATGAAAACAAGGTCACGCACCGTCCCGTCGTGGAAGCTCAGCTCCATACCTGGACCTAAGGGGGACACAGGAGGGAGTGGGGGGGTTAGCATTGACGGGAAGATTAGTAGAGTTAGTTCATTTGTTTGACGATGGCAATGACAATGACAATCTTTATTCATCAATGACAATGACAATCTTTATTCACCAATGACAATGACAATCTTTATTCATCAATGACAATGACAATCTTTATTCATCAATGACAATGACAATCTTTATTCATCAATGACAATGACAATCTTTATTCATCAATGACAATGACAATCTTTATTCATCAATGACAATGACAATCTTTATTCATCAATGACAATGACAATCTTTATTCATCTCACAAGGAGAAACTTGTCTCGGTCATTTACAATGGCAGTGGATGTTACAAAGGTTAGGTGCACTCACGCATCACACAACAAGACTGGACATCAGTAAATACATGTTTTACGTACAAGTCTGAGTTTTTTAAAAAGAACACCCATACAATAACAGAAATGACACAGAAATAAAAGAAGCAGGACCTAACAATGGCACCCTTCAACTACTCAAAAGGTGGAGTAGGGAGGCGAGGAAGTGGAAGAGAAGATTGGACTTGGTGGAGATGTGGATGCAAAAGAAGTAATGGTGGAACAATGAGAGTATTGTACAGGTTTTTGCAAAGCCAAGCTGAAAGTCTGCTCATCTCCGAGAGTTGGTATACACGTTTGAGTACAAGGATCCAAATTCAACTCATAAATGGCCAATTAGTGCTAGAACAAAATGCTCCAAGTGGCAGGATGTGAACGGTCTCTAATCAGCGCCATCAGGAAGAGACAACTGAGATTCTTTGGCCATATAAAAGAATCAAACAGACTTGAGAAACTGCTAGTCTAATTTGTGTAAAGAAGGAGAGAAAGAGGAGCAGACGAATACAGAGAACATACACTGATGGCCTAAACAACTTTATAACAAACTTACTTGATCAGGACGAACAACAGGCAAGAATGGGGTACTATACTCATCAATGTCTGCTCCAGACCTGACCCTGACACCAGAAGAAGAAGTACTAGGACAAAAGAACCCCCAGATGTACCTGTTCGAGACATTCACTTGTAAAAATGTCCAATTTTCCCTTGCCCCTTTTGCATTTTTTAAATACTAATCGTGTTCAAGACAGCAAACCACCTAAAACGGCCACCATTGTCGAGGAGAAAAATGTTTATCTAATAGACTCCCGAAGACAGCCACTTTTCTCCTTGACAATGCGCTACCCCAAAATTACAAAGTTCATCTGCTCATAGTACCTGGTTTTGAGTATTTTGACTTACAAAACCTCAAGTTTCACAACATGTCAAGCTTTTTCGAATGCAATTCTTTGAATATCTTGATAACAATTCCAATTTTTAAAAAGCAGATAGAACAATTGCGTGGCCTTGTGGCGAAATCAGGCACTTATCAAAATGAGGAAATCGAAGAAAGCAACATTTTCCAGCCAGTGTGGTAATTTTACCAAATTTTTGTTTTTGGCTCAACACCACTTTTGTATTTAAAAACACATTTCTGTGGGTGGATTTTACTGAAAAATATTAATTAAAGCCACAAAAATTGTAAATGCTCAATTTCCTAGTACTCTCAAGCTATTCAAGTTGCCAAATTTTAGCGGCCATTTATTCAAATTTTACCTCTGAAACCAGGCCATCCCCACCTTTTCCAATTGCAAATATCTCAACGTATTCAAGATATATGGGTACTTTTTTCATCAAAACAAGACAAATGAACAGGCTTTAAAACAATACTAAAAACTCTTAGTGCCCAAAAATTGACAAGCGCCTGATTCCACAGCATCATAACAAAATTGGTATCTGACCTCATGGTCTTCTAACTTAACCCTTAAAACCCTGAATTCTTTTTTTTTCATACCTCCCTAGAATCCTGAATTAAAATTGAGATACTAGAAAAAATTAGGTTGGTTCATTGTTTTGTTTACCTTGTTTTTAATTGTTGTTAGATTTTACTGAAGTTTGAAAATGTTATTTATATATGAATGCACAGTCTGAACAAAACGGGAAAAGGTTAAAACACTGGTTTTTAGGACCAACTCTATGAGTTAAGTCTTGTGTGTGATCCCTGACTCCGCTT